TCTTGTACCCATTCATCTGCCTTCGTGGACCCTTTGCCTATCATCTATTCTTTGCCGTTGCCATGCGCAGCTGTCTGCGCTTGAACATGCACGCCCGTTCAGCTGCCGGTCCTCATGCACAGTGCACCTCACGACTCGTGTTTGCTCATGCATGCGCGCAAAACGACTGATCAGCATTACTTCTGGCACCCTTTCGACGCGTCTCAATTATGTTCCTGCTGCTTGTTTCTCCTTTTTCTACCAGCTCCATGCTCGTGCGCGACCTTATGTTCATGCTGTGAACCATCGCATCCCGCGCCCGTCTTTGACGTCCCATGAGCTGGGACTCTCGGAGAATAACGCACACACCACACAATTCATCTAAGACCCGGGAGCAGCCGAATATCTGCCAGGTTACCCTTCGTCATCTGCGGACCAGGACTTTGAAGCCGAGCACCCTTGCTCAACGTACGTTCAAGAAGATTGCTGTGCCGCCATAGACAATACTCAGGCCGTTTCATAGAGGCGATGCGCGGGACCGCACAAAGAGGCGACTTGAAGACTGCATCAACGCAGTATCTATAGGAACCGCTGCTACACTTCGCTATCTACTATAGCCCAGCCAGTCTGACACAGTTGCGGCATTCGAGACCTACACTCTCATCGGTTTGGCATACATTCTTCCACAACCAGATCGCCCGATTGCTTTGCGCGAACGAGACTCGCACCCTACCCAGCTCGGTGCAGCGATTCTAGCCCTGTGGGCACTTCTCTGGGCTCACTGGATGCTGCGTCGACTTCGCGACTCTGCATCCGCGAGGTTGCCCTCTTCTGTCTGGCCAACTTCCTCTTTTGCGCGATAATAACACAGACGATGCTGATAACTATAGCCAAGACTGATAGCATGGCGCCGATGATAACGAAGATGTAGGATCTGTCGCTCGCCATGGCTTCGGTAATGATGGCACTCGGTGGTAATTTGATTTTGAAAGGGATAATAAAGTGCAGCCACGACCCGCAAGAGGCACATGCCTTGTGCTATGTACGCAATTAGTGCATGCCGTTTGATGCTTACTACTTCGAACGGTACCACGAGAGGTACACGTTATGCTACCAGATAATCTCAACTGTTCGTTGTTCTGTCCGATGGTCAACTGCACCAGACTACCACAAGCGCAATGCACGTTCATCTGCATCTGTTGTCATGGAGACCTAGTGGGACACTTGATAGATACTGCGCTTTACGTGACGGTTGTAGATATCCACGCTCTTCTCCCTGATCTATAGGATTGTTGTGCTTCAGGTTGTTCAGCATCCATGGATCGTGATAGGGCGCTGACGTACGCCAAGCCCAATCGTGCCCGAGCAAGCGTGGCCAGGTGCACGTGGTCCCGCCGGGAAGCTACAGCGGCCTTACCCTTTCGGCTTACAACACAGTCCTTCCAGAACTGTGCATCTTTCCGTGCATAGTCTCCCTTGCACCGTCAGAGCTTGAAGGGTGTGCAAAAGAAACCACGAGGCCTAAGCCACGTCCTGTCTCGTGCCGTCCGCATGCGCCAATACACGACCGACAAACCACGCCGTGACCGCTTGACAAGTCTGCCTTATCACGCTCGTTGATAGTATCTATCTCCATCACTAATCGCGCATAATGGAGAAATCGAAGTCGAGACTAAGTTCCCCAGAACGATCCAGCTCCGTCGCGTCCAGGCCTACAGCATCGCGCTCTAGCAGTCAGGAGCAGCTGGATGATATCGAGAAGGCGTCGACTGCAGTTGGTAGCCCGCAGACCTCTCCGCTTGAATTCAAACCCGAAGCCGATCTCGAAAAATTACCTGGTCATGGAAAGCCACGAAGAGAGTCCGAGTCCACCAAATTTGGCGGTGAAGAAGAAAATCCCAACGTCAATGTGTCGTTCCACAGACCTTCCACTCCATCTACGGTCCACAAAGTCAAAGGCTCGACCTACCAGAATGTCGGAGAGAGCGGGATCAAGAGAATGCACAAATTCTCGCTCTACGAAACTAGTACCCGCTTCTATCTCATCGGTGCCGACATTACCGACAGGCAGTTCCGCGTGCTGAAGATCGATCGGACCGCTGCACCTGGACATTTGAACATCTTCGAAGACGATATAGTGTATAATCGGCGCGAAATGCATCAGTTGCTCGATACTATAGCTGACGGCAACAAGGCTACAGGAGGTATGAAGCTGAAGTGCAGCACATGGGGCTTGTTGGGATTCATCCGATTCACCGAGGCGTACTATATGCTATTGATATCCAAAAGATCACAAGTGGCCATGTTGGGTGGTCACTACATTTACCAGGTCGATGGTACGGACATGGTACCATTGACGACTGGATCAACATCAAGGTACCAAAAAGACCGCAATCCGGAAGAAGCGAGATTCTTGTCCATTCTCAACAACATGGACCTCACACGATCTTTCTATTTTAGCTATTCTTACAACGTGACGAGGAGCCTGCAACAGAACATCATTCATCAACGGACTGCACTTAGTGAAGGCATCTCCAATCCCGAACGCGATTTTCAAGATATGTTTGTCTGGAACCATCATCTCCTGAACCCTGCGCGAGACGCATTGAAGAACGTCTACGACTGGTGCCACCCAGTCATACATGGATACGTTGACCAATCTTCGCTGGATGTCTTTGGGCGACGCGTATACCTTACCATCATTGCCCGACGATCAAGACATTTTGCCGGTGCTCGTTTCCTCAAGCGCGGCACAAACGACCTAGGATATGTCGCCAATGATGTCGAAACAGAGCAGATTGTGTCAGAGCAGACCACGACTTCCTTTCATGCTCCAGGACCGCGCCTCTATGCGAACCCCTCTTACACATCCTACGTCCAGCACCGCGGTAGCATACCATTATACTGGACTCAGGACAATACGGGCGTGACACCAAAGCCAGACATTGATCTGAACCTCGTGGATCCCTTCTACAGCGCAGCAGGACTGCATTTTGACAATTTGTTTGAGCGATACGGTGCCCCGATATACGTTCTCAATCTTATCAAGGCGCGTGAGCGAACTCCGAGAGAGTCGAAACTGCTTTACGAATACAAGCACGCTATCGACTACCTCAACCAGTCGCTACCAAATGACAAGAGGATAATATATGAGGCTTTTGACATGTCAAGAGCAGCCAAAACCAGAGGACAGGATGTTATTGGCACATTGGAGAATCTGGCTGAAAAGGTTTTGCGGAAGACAGGGTTCTTCCGCAATGGCGACAATGAGTTTGACGCGCCTCAGGTTCAGAACGGAGTGGCGCGAACGAATTGCATTGACTGTCTGGATAGAACAAACGCTGCCCAGTTCGTCATTGGGAAACGAGCACTAGGTCGACAACTACAAGCGCTTGGTGTGATATCTGGCAATACTGTCGAGTACGATTCGGACTGCGTCGAGCTGTTTACGCAAATGTTTCACGGTCACGGTGATACTATCGCCATCCAGTATGGTGGCTCGCATCTGGTCAATACGATGGCTACCTACCGGAAGATCAACCAGTGGCAAAGTAGTTCTCGCGATATGGTTGAGAGCTTCAAGCGCTATTACCACAACTCCTTCCTCGACTCACAGCGCCAAGAAGCATACAATCTGTTTCTGGGTAATTACGTATACCGCCAAGGTCAGCCGATGCTATGGGATCTATCAACAGACTACTTCCTTCACCATCAAAACCCACAAAACTTCCTCGAGCGCACAAGACGAGACTATATTCAGTGGTACACACATTCACATCTTCAACAACGCACGCTACCACCTTCAGTCATGCCAGCCCTCCCGACTGAGGAATCAGCATTCGACTTCATTAGCTTCCGTGATGATTACTGGCTTGAATACTACCGACCGTTGGCTATCTCGTCATATCTCAAGATCTTCGCCTTCCGTTTAGCCAAGCCGCGACCAGGTCTTAGGGATGGAACGTATCCATCTCGTAAGGAGAACATGTCTCCCTTCGTGCCTCGCACGAAGCAACAGGACCATGACGCACAGGGAAGGGACGGAAAGAAGGCTCCTCGAAAAGGTGTGACCATTATTGATCCTTCGAGCGAGACTGAGTCCAAGCCCGACCATACCCCAGGCAACCGAAGGAGGGACCTGCACCTTAGCGCTACCTACGCAGAGTCATCAGTCCGACATTCCATCCTTCGGGAATCCCACTTCGAGACTCACCCGCCAGCACCACCGCCGTCGGCATACCAGTCGTTGGCCAATTCCATGTCCACGTCAACTGGCCTCTCATCCACGCTCAAACCCGGTTTCAAGCCCGCAAACAAAGCGCTCGTTCACCAGTGGACATTAACCCAGTTCTACGAGAACAGCATGAACCCATCTGTATCCTATAGCGAAGAAGAAGAGTACGCCCGCTACATCGAACACCCACTTAACCTACCTTTGGTAGTCAGTAGTGAGATGCCCACTGCCGACGATCCCAGTGCGATGGAATTCTACGACTACCTTTCCATGACGGAGGGCAGCATTCCTGCGCCCAAGAACTTCGATGAAGATGGCGTCCAAATCACCCTCTCCGATCTACCTCGTCTAGACACAGATCTCGCAAATCAATCCTTTGCCCGTCCCATGACCTCGCAATCTGTCAGCACACCCTTCTCCCACGCGCCCTCCTACTCGTACCCGCAAACGTACAACCTGCATCCATACGTCTATGCCGACGTTCAACAGCCGCCTCCACAGCCACAGTCTACCGGGAGCAAGTTCCAAACGCCAGAAGAGGATATCGAGGAGTTTGAAGAGTTTCTGCGCGTCAAGGAGAACCCGCTAGATGTTGAGGAGGAAGATACGGCGAAGAAGAGATACAAAGCTTACCGGCAGTGGCTGAGAGGTAAGAGCTTCTTCAAGCAGAGTAAGGTTGATCCCGAGTGGCAGGCACAGTTACCTGTGAGGTAGATGGGAAGGCTAGTCAGGTTAGCATGTGCTTCGATTTTGACTACTTGGAATGCATTCGAAGCCCATTGGGCCATGTTCTGTCTGATCTACATGACTCTGCCCGTTTACTCTTACACTATCTCATCTGTCATCCCTGCAAGTACCCCGGCGCCAACGATGCCTCCGTCCTTGGCCTCTTTGAGCGTGACTTGCTTGTTTCTGTTCGATGTCGACCCCTCCTCGACCAGAATGTCTATCCATTGTTGGCACGTCTGCAGCCACTTTGGATACTGCGATATAGTCCCTCCAGCATATGCTATGACCAGCTCCTCAATTTCGCGTTTGCCCTTTGCACTTGTACCGTTGCTTGGAGATTGCTGCTTGTCTAGCGCGACGTCGCCCACACAGTTCAGCAGCCCGACACAGGCAGCAGCAATGAGAGCTGAAGAACGCTGTTGAACGGCCTCAGCAATGTCCCGTATCAGTTCCACCTTGTCGACAGTCCAGAAGAAATCATCCGAGGACTCTGCGTCTGGGTATTTGCTTTCGAGCTCTTCTTGAACAATGCGGCCGCCCTTTCGCGCAACGACTTCTGACAGGAAGCGTGTCGGCAGAGCGTTCTTGAGCATCAAAGATGATGGTATTTGCACGCCTTCCTCTTTTGACACGACGTCGACAAACACCAAGCGTACAATCTCGCCTAGATATCGCCCAGAAGTCATGTACTCGAATGGTTGGAAACCCGGTGCATCGCTGTTGGCGTCGAGTGTCATATCCCATGGTGTCTTGATGTTCAGATCAACTAGCGGTTTGTCGGTGCCACGAATAGTCCACTCTGTGTTGATGACCACAGTTTCGGTAGCATCGGGATTTGGAAGTGCACTCCTCTTGTCGGGGTGCAGATTCTCTGGCTTCATTGGTACGGTCGCGTTAGTGCCGGTACCGACGATGAGACCCATGGCTACGCGGCTGTTGGGGGCTGCTTTGGCTGCATAGGCAAGAGACGCAAAGGTTGCTACTGTGTCGTTGGTAATAGCTGCTACCCGTATCCTTGGCAGTTGTGACTTGGAATGGTTGAGCTGTTCAGATGAACCGTCTGTGTTACAGTATCGCGCATAGCCAGCTAAAAGCATTTTTCCTAGATTCAGGTCCGATGTAATGGCGAACCCTTTGCCCATCGGCAGTAAGGTCGCTTCTGAGAGACGCGTTTGTCTGGATGACCTGTTAGCGAGATGTCACGGTTCATTCAGGAGCCCACTTACGCCATCGGGAAGCTGAAGGTGATACCGAGCAGGATTTCGTCACCTAGAGGAGACGAGACATCTTCTGTAGTCTCCTGTGCCTTAAGAGCGTCCTTGACTACCTCAGCGATGCAGTCACCGATCCAGGCAAACAAGTCTTCAGCTTGATCCATCTTCAAGTGATCCTCAATCGGCCAATTCCTGTCATGACTCCTCTTGATCCGCGAAAACACATTTTCCCCAACCGTGCTGCTGCGTGTTCGCTCATCCTCTGGGCCGCCATCTGGCTCTCCGATTAGCTCAACAAAGCCGACTCTTAGATTCGTGCCACCAACATCGATGCTCAAGAATTTGCCCTTCTCTTTGCCCGTGGGGAGCGCCGTGACGGGTGTGACTAGGAAGTGCTCAGTGGAAGATTTGGCGAGGTGAGTGTAGGTAGCCGAGAATTGAAGAGCCAGATTAAGCAAAGTGCTCGTATTGATAAAGCCGGTCAAAGCTTGAATCGCAGCCGGCGCAGCGTCTTGGTGATCATCCGACGCCATGTTTCGGGTCGGGTCGGTACCAGGCTCAGGAACGGATCTTGGGTGACGATGCAGGGCTACCACATGGATTAGAGAGACGAGAAGGGGATTGGGTGTAGCCTTGCCAGTGGCAGAAGCAGACGATATCTCTAAAGGTGGGGTATTAGGATGCTAGAAAGAGTCATTCCATTATGAGCGAAAGAAGCGGAAAGGAAACGAGAGGCGTGAGATCGCAAGCGTTACGCACGCAGCAGATCAGTCGTTCATGAGGTAGGATCCGTGTAGCCCCTCCGAAGCTCGGTGTTACATTCGTGTAGAACGCCACACGGCTACAGCATAACGGCTAATTGTTCTGCCGTGCTCTGTTGTCTCCTCGGCTCTTTTCACGTGTTGGGAGAGGGACGAAGATAGTGGATAAGGCGTCACATCATGGAAGAACGCGTCTTCACAACTTCTTCGACGCTCATAAGGTATAGAGTTTAGATTGTTTTGTTTTTGCCTGAGCCCTAGATCCGCCACTCATAGCCTTGCCACGTTAGTCGACACGCTATCAGCAGTAACCCGAACGCCTATCAGTCCATCTCTTGCCGCATTCGACTTCGTCCATGCCATCACAAGCGCATCGTGTCTAGCAAGCCAGTCCAGACCACCAACCACCTACCACCCAATACGCCTACACGACACGCTACATAAGAGCGGCAATCCGCACCGACGCCATCCCGCGCAATGGAAGAAAAGGCGCCCCTCCTCCCGAACTCGCACGTCGATGCAAACGCGCCGCCGCCCGACGAGACCATGGTATCGCGCAAGACAAGGAAGACACGCCTCCAGATGGCGGCTGTCGTGTTGGTGTTCAGTCTATTCTTGCTTGCGCGCACATTTACCTGTATGGACGCACACGACGAAGCCGACACCAAAGTGCCAGTAGACGTGCACATCATGTCCAAATGCCCGGATGCGCGGGACTGCCTGAAGAAGCTCGTCTTGCCCGCCATGGCCAACGTGTCAGACAAAGTCGACTTCCGTCTGAGCATGATCGGAAGGTACGTCGCATTACCCACGCACAAGGTGCAGACCACGTAGCTGACAAACACGCAGCCTAACAGCAGACGACGGCGTCGAATGCAAACACGGCCAAACCGAATGTCTAGGCGACATCGTCATGCTCTGCGCCGCCTCCGAGTACCCCGATCCTAAACTCTACCTTGGCTTCACAAACTGCCTCACCAACGATTACGCCGAGATACCCGCTCGCTCCCTCATCGAAGACTGTGCGCTGGAACACGGCCTCGACTTTGGCGTGCTGAATGATTGCATGAGCAAGGAGAACGGCGCATATGGCATGGGCCTGCTGAGGGACAGCGTGCAGCATAGTAGCGACGTAGGCGTTACAACGAGCTGTACGGTCAGACTGGACAACAAGGTGCGGTGCGTAACGGACGGGGGAAAGTTCAAGGACTGCGAGGGTGGAAACAAGCCCGAGGACCTCATTCGAGATATTGGGAGATTATACGACGAGGCACAGGGTTGGACATACTCTTGAACATATTATTTGGCATTTTGGGCATACGGTTCTGGCGTTTGGTTTTAGCGGTTCCGGCACGCATCGTAGATTGATATACCCAACACACCTCAGTTTCTCTTATGACACAAACACTCTCGGCAATGTGAACGTCTTTGAAGTCTTGATTTCATAATTTCAATACGCCTCCCATGCGCGGAAGACCTAACCAGTGCAGATGATAACTCCAATGCTAAACATGCACAAAATGCCTCCCACTTCTTCTCCCCTATACTCTATTGGAACTCGCCAAACTCGCCATCATCAAAGCCCAAATCCTCCGCCGTCTGTTTCGGCGGCGTGAAGTTCGCAGCGTCAAAATTCTGCCTACTTCTCCTCCGCTCCTCCTTGACACTCTTCGCGCTGGGCGGCGGAGGCAGGAACCCAGGTCCTCCACCCCCACTTCCCGGCGGTGGCTTTATACTGAACAGCGCATCTTGCTCGCTCTTGCGGTCGCCCTCGTCATTCTTTTCGCCACCCTCGTGTGATCTCGACCTCCTCCCCTTCAAGCCACCTAGATTTATCGATATTGTCTCGCCAGCCTTGAGACTGAAGTCGCGTTTCGGTTCCTCGGCGACGGGCGTTTGTGCGGATTTGGAGGAGCGCGACGATGACGACGCTGCGGGGTTTTGCTCAAAGCCCAGCACACGGCGAGCATCTTGCAGCGCAATGCTGAAATCAAACGCTTCGCTGCGTTCTTCGAAGCCCATGCCCAGTATTGCTTTTCTCCCCTCGCCTACTACGGTGATGGCGAAGAAGCGGCTGCTGTCCAATGCTTGTTCTACTGTTCTCTCACTCGTGTAGGGTGCTGCGGCAAACAAATCGCCCGTTTTGGGGTCCTCTAGCAGGAGGGTTGTTGTAACCTTCTCCTCTGCATCCTCGTTGCTCTGTTGCTCCTCATTGGACGGTATTGAGGTCTCGACGACGCGTAATCGAGCGGTGAAGATTTGGAGCTTATTGTTGTCGGCTGTCCAGGTCGATGCTTGGTAGCCTTTGGTAGAGGTCGCGGGAGGAATTTGGTAGATGTGGACTTTGGGCGCGAGGTAAAGGATGCGTTGGATGGCGGTTGAGGGGAGGGGTTTGCCGGTTAGAGGATCGACGTTCATGATTGATGGACTATTGGGCTCTGCGGGGCCTTTGTGTTGTCTAGTAATGCTGTCTGGTAGGTGCGTAATCCTTTGCGACAGTTGTTGTGCTTTGGTCGTCCCCTGGATCTAGAAAGTTGGGGGAGCTATAATCTTAGCGGGGTAAGGCTTCCTTGAACTGCAAATCCCACGACGCTGAATCGTAAATGCCAATAATCTTCGAGGGCGCTCCGATTCAGGGTGGCTGTAATCTCAAACAGCGTTTGAAACGGGCGTGGTCGGAGGGATTGGAGGACATGATTGCCCTCGATTCTTCTCCAGTCGGTGATGCGTTGGCACTGCAGGGTCTCCGCGCTTTGGATGGAGAGACCCCGCCCATTCATATTCGTTGCGGGACATATGCAGCCCAGGTATGGTGACCGCTTAGCGCTGCGGAACATGCGTTAGATCGCCTTAGTTTCCTCCATCTTCTTTGATGTGACGATACGCGATGCTTGTGCGGTCATTCGGAGGCTTAGGTGTATCCGTTGTCACACGCTCAATTCTGGAGTAGGGCGACGAATCATCTCAATGGTAGTCTATTTCATTGTCATCAAATACGCACGGTCGGTCTATTCTTGAGCTCAACAGCAAATCGACTCTAGTCCACCATCCAAAAGAACATGTACGGGTCAAGTATATACAGCAAGGAAACCAAAGTCAGAGGCCGCGTCTAGATGTAGGTGTAGCAGAAAGGTCCACCCATGGTGCTCATCGCATCACCAACAGTGATGTTTCCGGGGTAAGCGTGTCCGAGAGTCATGGAGTCGGTGAGCTTGGTCGCAGGAGCGGTGGGGTCACCTAGGGCGATGGTTCCGTAGATGGCCGTAGTCCTTTCTGCAGGGTTCACGTTTTGCCATGACCACCACACACGGTCGATCTGGGCGTGATGGAAGTAGAAGTATGGGTCACCTGTTCATTGTTAGCCCAGATTACTCGTGGATGGGGATATGGAAACATACCAGGAGAGGTGAAGAAGTCAGAACCAGGGTCAGCGCCCACAGTAAAGTGGCCAGCAGTGTGCACACCCATGAAATTGTTGGAGAATGCAGCCTCACCACCTTGCATGTCGTACCAGAAGGTTTTCATGTCAGGGCTATTCAGCAGTTTGACAACCATCTTGTCATTGGTCCATTGACTGGAAGCCCAAGCGGATATGTCACGCTTCAGGCAGCGGGGGTTGTGTGCGACTCCCGCATTGGGGTCAGTGAAGTCGACAATCGGATTGGGAGGCGTGCAGAGTGAGTCGGTGAAGACTGGACCAAGGTTGACGGACCAATCCTTGAACGGACCAGACGTCACGCAACCTCCGCCAGTGCCCTTGGGAATCTTGATGAGAGGCGACTCGTTGGTCGGGATACCGTAGAACGTCTGGTTGCTGCAGCCTGCATCACCATTACCGCCCATTGAGGTATCGGAGCCGTCTAGGACAGGGCTCTTCATTGGGTCGTCAGCCCATCGTGGCCAGTTGTAGTATGGCTGGTAGCCCTTGTAACCGCACTCGTCGCGGAGAGTTTGCTCGTAAGCATAGGTGAAGTAGCGGTGCCATGGGAGGAAATTGCCAGTGTTATGAATGGCAAATGTTTGCTTGATGTGAGTAGCAACAAAGTCATCGTATCGATTCCGGCAACCCGGGCACTCGGACTCCGGTGTCTTAGGGGGTAGCTTGGAGATACATTGAACAGCCTTGATATAGTCTTTCTTCTCCGATGTGGTAAAGGTCACCCTGGGGGTATTAGCTTACTGTAGACGCATGGACTACGGTAGACTTACCATTCCTTGCGAACAATAATGTTCGTGGGGTTGCACTTCTTGAACTGAGCAGGCTTCTGCGTAGCCTGGAAGATCTGCTGATTGATAGCAGCAATACCCGCATACACATCAGCCTGCAGGATCTTTGGTCCGGGGAGGTTTGGGAAAACATTCTGTCTCTTGTCGAACGTGACAGCGGGAGAATCCTGTTCCAATGATGGAATGGCACTGGCTAGTGCTGCAGGCACAAGCCAGAGGAGTGCAGCGGTACGCATGATGGCGTTTCGAACCGGTTAAAAATGGGTGATCGACTGTCTAGAGGGGCTTGGAGGATGAAGACGATGGGATGACTGAAACGGTCGAAGACGTTGAATAAGGTTCCGGGTGAGCGGCCGCCTGAGCTAACGACTACTGTATTAATATTAGGAGATGGGGGAGGCGTAGTCGAAATGTGGCGATGCCCTGGCTAAAGTTTGGAGGCCGCATGCGCGTTCAAATACTCGCAGGAGGTACCTTACCACTCGCCCCATCTAGTCTAATAACAGTCCAACATAACTGTGCCGTACCAAATCGTGCTGTCTACAGACCCGTCAACTCGGTTTGTTGATTCCGGATAGGCATTGAGTCAGTTGGGTGGCCCTTGACCTTATGCCATACCGAAGTTTTACTCGCCCGGTATTCCGCAAGCGTTTGAAAGGGTTGGACAACCTCCGTTATGCACGATCTATTACCGAATAGGCATCTGGAAAATGCCGAGGTCGCCTCGAAGGATCCGATGAGGCGTTTTCAAAACTCCGCTACACGTGGGTTCGCATGAGTCTCGCCCCTACATGTGAGTGGAAAGAAGATGTTCGGCCGGAATTGACGCCTGGAAATGAGTGCAAGATGCGTTAGCGGATCGATTGGATTGGATGCTGGATGATTGGGGTTCTCGGCTACGGGTTTATGAAGGTAGTCGAAGGATGCTGTAGGCGGCCTGGTATAAGCGGCTGAACGAGCATCTCGAGCCGTATGGGCCGGTAGACTCATCAAAGGTGGCTGTGGCTTTCCACAGAGGTAAGCGCACTGGCACGCTGGCAAGCCCGGACAAGGGTACCGACTGGATATATTGATATCTCCAAGCTTTCCTTGGAGGGGATTTGCTTCTCCACCTGGTAAAGCTGTTTGATCGGGGAAGAATGCGAACAAATCGCAGCGCGATCCTAGCAAGATCTTGATTCTTGACCGAAGCCAGGTGCCACTTCAGTTTACCCGGCCGCATCGTGCGAAGCCCGCTGTCCGGGTGTGGAACTCACGGGAAGAGCCCTAGGTTCATGGCGGATAACTGCTGTTTTTTTAGTATGGCCCGATGGAGAGCGCCAGATCGACCAGTCAATGCCTGGTTCAGAAGCTCTGATCAACGCTCGTGCTTGGGCAGTATGCATTAAGGAGGCGAATAAAAGTCTTGTTCGGAGGCCCTGTCGATTCTGAGGAGTCTGGAGTTCTGGTGCTCCAGCTTTCAACGAGGAGGGAATAGGGTAGGACGGGCCGCGAGAACACGCTATGGCCGGATAATTCCAGGGCATGCCGCGGAGGCGGCAGCGGTAGCGTGAAGGTCTAGCGCCCGGCTTACCACCAATCTGTTTACTCATCTCACATGCTACCACCTACATCGTCTGCGCCAGGTCCGGACTTCGCTTACACGACCTTGCTCGCCTGCCGCGATGATAGCACTTCTATTACCAATGGCTTTGGCATGCGAGAAGCAAGCAGTACACATTAACCACGAGAATACCATACGCCGTTGTCCGACGCACTCAAACTGCGTTTTCTTCGTGGCCAATGGGTAGCGCACAGTAATCACGGTCAGTGGTACAGGAACATCCGCCACTATGGGAGAAAAAAAGTCTGAGACCTGCCGATGACTAGGGTGTGTTCGTTTAAACAACGTGCAGCAGTCTCCATCTCCGTGCGTAAAACCACAATCCATGACCAGGACGCCTGAGAACTATACGTAAAAGGAAACTCGCTACGAACTTCAGCAATCCTTCAGGGAAATATTGCGTTCTCGTTCAGCCCGCGTTACTTCGATGCGCAGTAAGTGTACCTGCATAGCCTCCAACTCAGGCTATCCTCCAAGCAATATCTGTGAGAGGGCGGGCTTCGAAGTCCGTCTCCCTATAGAAGCATTGATCATCCCGAGTCTCTATATTCCTTGTCCACGGTCGTGGCTTTAACCATGAATGACTGAGTGGACGGTACGGACCGCCCGCAACGTGAAGTCGTGGACAGTAGGACTGTGTCGTCAAAACGTTCCGCGCAGAAGGCTTTTGTAGGTGGATCTCTTCGCGCATACTGCTACATTGATCTTGAAGCCGAAGATGTAGCAGCTGAGCGGCACATTGAAGGATGAAGGATTAAACTTCGTAATCCCAGAGCCGCTGGTCGCTACAAGAGTGGTCGGTTTGGTATGAGAAACGCCATTCCGGCTATTCGCAAGCTGCACGATCCTGCCGAGCCGCCATTTTCGACATTGAAGTGGCGGCCCATGCATGTACGACGTGCTGCTACTGGCATAAACCAGGACTGTTTGAGATGTATGTTCGCTTGTGTGCGGTTCGTGTTTACACAGTGTGCATGTGCCTAAGTGCTACTCTGGAGAAGCCCGCAGGAACTGCTCCTGAGCAATACTCTAATAGTCTGGGGACCTACTTCCAAGACATACGGTCTTGCCATCACTTTCAATCCGCGCAACAGCCAACATGGAGTATCATGCTCTTGTTCCGAGACAGGCTGAGGGCTGGCCCGTAATGCCAGCTCGGTCACCAGAGTACATGGCCGAGAATCAAGCTGGGCGCTTGATGGCGGTGGAAGGTTCGTTGTTCGCACTGTCGACGAGCGCTATACTCTTGCGATTCTATGTGCGGCTCTTCATTCTGAAGACATTTGGCTGGGATGGTATGTATGATCCATTAGCATTTGTATCAGACAGAACTGACTGGAATAGATGCTATGATGGCGATTGCGTTGGTGAGTCGCCATACTCTGGCGTGAAATTGCTCGAAGGGAGGTGCTTGCTAACTGTCACTCCACAGACTCTGAGCTCCACAACCCTAGGCTTATTCTTGAAGGTTATTGACCTGGGACTTGGACTACACGCGGAAGCCTTTCCACTGGAGAACATATTTCCGTTCTTCAAGGTCATGTACTTCTACTCGATCTTCATCATTGCCGCATACAGCTTTATCAAGCTTTCAATCGGCTTCTTCTTGTTACGGCTCGCGGACCGTACAAAGTGGCGACCATTTCTCATTGGCATGCTGGGTAAGTCTGAATGAGCTGCAGAGTAAGATATAAGCAGCTGACATGCGATCAGTCTTCATCGGCGTCTTCACCATCGGTTCGACATTTGCCATCATCTTCCAGTGCATTCCCGTACAAGCGGGATGGGATTTCAACATGCGTCCACCGACAGGGTAAACTTTTCACTCTCCTCCGCTACCACTTGAGAACGATACTAACGTGTCTTCAGAACTGCGAAATGCTACGATTCTGGCATCTTCAAAAACGTCGGCGTGTTTAATTCGTCAGTGAACATTGCGACTGATCTGCTCTTCGCCCTGATCCCCATTCCCATGGTCTGGAGACTTCAGGTCACGATCCAAACGCGCATAGGCCTGGCAGTCATCCTAAGCTTGGGTCTCTTCGCCTCTGCAGTAGCCATCTACAAGACGCCAATGCAGTACAACTTCTTCAAGATAACCGACTGGTCAGGCGATGGAGCATGGTACTACATATGGCAACAGTACGCACTCCCCCTTTCATGCCCATGTTTCACTTTGACTGATCCCCTCTTACAGAGTCGAGATGCACGTAGGCATCATCGCCGCCTGCCTTCCCACCATGAAACCCCTCTTCGCGAACTTCTTCGGCCAAATGCGTTCTCTTGCCACCAAAGGTCGCACCACTGGCAACAGCACACCTTTCCGCTCGAACGGGTACATGAAGCACAATGACATGCGTCCTGGTGACTCTTTTGCTATGAGAAACATGACAGGAGGCTCACAGTCGACGGCAAGGGATCCATACTCTGAGGATACCGTGCTGGGCAAGGACACGTATACTGTCGAGGCTTCACGAGGAAGGGCCTTGAGTAGACCGAAGAGTCTTGCGGGCGAGAGCGACGAGAGTATCTTGGATCATGAGGTTAACACTGGAGAGAGGCGCAGTGTGCTTCCCAGGGGTATGAATATCGTGAGGACTACTGAGGTAAACATCTCTAGATAGTGTGAGTACACGTGTAAAAGCTGAGGAGTTGTGTGTATGCGACTGAGGTCGTTGCAGCACGGTGTTATGAGAGATACCCTGGTAAAAGCACTGTCGAGTGCGCAGTGTTTGTAGATACATAAGAACGCTTATCTGGTATGTAGCACATCTGCTTGGATAAACACTTTCATCGAATTCTAGTCTATCGTGTAATCATGTCTATGGTCTTTCTATGTCGTCCAACCTTTTCGTCTATGATAATCCTGAGAGATCTGATCCATCTTCACACGGATTCGTTCGCGCCGCAGCCACTGCCGTGCACACATCATCAGGAGGATTCGGTGTCTACTGCGCCGCAGCATAGACAGTCCCAACGCCGAAAGTCTTGGATGGATATACGCAATCAAATTTCCGAGACTTGTTTATTTCTTCGTCTCAACGTCGATTCCCGCAGCGCCGCTCTTGTACGCCTCGTAGCCTTCCTTGGCGGCCGCTTGGACAGTGGTCTTTCCCTCTACGATGCTCTTGCACTTGGCCAGGATGTTGGACCAGTCCTCGAAGACTGTGAATGGCACATCCTCGCGCGCGCAGTAGCTGATCAGGTCATGACCCTTCTTGGCGAAGAGCAAGTCGGTTTCGCGTGCTGCAGAAAGATCGGATACACCGTCACCGGCGTAGAACATTGTTGGACGGAGGTTCTCGGGTAGGCTCGAGTACTTCCGTAGTTCAATAGACTTGTCGTGGCCGAAGCCAGACTCAGGGTGCTTGAACAGGATCTGCCATCCACCCTCCTCGTTGATGTTCTTGCCTTCTCGTGGTCCAACGTGGTTGCCCAGAACTTGCATCTTGCTTGCATCTGGCCCAACCAACTTCTCCAAGAGCGCCTTGATGACTGGCTCCATGCCCGAGCTCAGCACCACGACTGGGATGTTGTTCTCTAGCGACCATTCGAAGAAGGCTTTGAAGCCAGGGTCCAGCTTGATGTTATCGACAAGGTACTGGATACATTGGTCGTAGGGCTTTGTGACGCTGTCCATCATGTCGCGGAAGGAATCGCGGAAGGAAATTTCGTTGTTGAGGCAGGCGATGTTTCCCGCGCGGCGCTTGTCGCGGCCGTAGCCAATGTTGTCGGTCATGAAGTCATTGGAGTCTTGGAGGGTGATTGTGCCGTCGAAGTCGGTGAAGAAGATGAACTATGCGCGTTAGTTTAGATGTACCAATCGTGTTAGAAAAAGTATACCTTGGGGTCACTCTTCATAGCAGGCAATTGTGCCAAATCGATCTGTGCTGAACCCATGTTGGAGTAGTAAACGAGCGACTGTGGTGCTGGTCTATGGTGAATGTGTGAATGTAGGAGTGAGAAGCACCCCACCAGATACCAACGACATCTAAAAGATTAGGCCAGAGGGGCGCTAGGAAACCCTTAATCGGAATGCCGGCAGTCTGCAAATAAGGGACGCTGGACGGGTGGCTCAAGGGCCAGTCACCGTCATGCCGCAACCCCACGCGCCTTGGCACGTCAGCCCTCGCTGCGACGCCGCTCGCCCGCTTCGGGGGTCCGCATTTTGGCGCATTTTCGTCATTCGTCATCCAGCTCAGGCGCTCTCCATGTGAGGGCAGAGACAAGAATGAGGCCACTGCTTCAGCATGCTTCACGCTCGCTTATCGCCAGTACGGTAGCTCCTTCTTCGCGTTCTTTCAGTAATGTCGCTCGCAGCGCATCGTCGGTATGCTGGAGTTATAGGTATCGCACAGCTTCTGGTGCGTCGAGGTGGGATGGAAAGACACAATTGAGCACCAACGTATCCGCAAATCGGTCGCGGCGTACCTTTACAAGCTCGACAAGATGGAAGGAAGAGGGAAAACCGCCCAAACCATCGGACCCCATCGCAATGCCACCGCCCGCAGACGACGCGAACCCCATACAGCAACCTCCAACCAGATTATCGGCATCCCCACCATCACCAGAAGATCAGGAGCGGTTAGAGCGAAGACTTAACGCTCTATTGGAGGACCAGAAAGCTATCAAAAGAGCAGCAGAGACTTCGGTGGCTGCATTGACAGAATCGCCCGTCCCTGAGGTCAAAGAACCCCCTCCAAAGGAGCCGGAGCCACCCAAGAAGGACGAGTCCTTGGACAATATTGCTCGCGTGCCTGATGAACACTTACCTTCGCACCAGGAGAAGCAGAGATGGAGTCTTTCCAAGCGCTTCTCCGAGGCCATGGATGAGCTACTACCGAAGCTTGCTGTAGTCACGCAAAAGGTCAATACATACACTGGCACCGACTACTCTGGGGTAGAAGCACTCAGGAGGGAGATCAAAGAGCAAGGTACACAATTGAACCGTCTATTGTACCGACGCGACAGCTAACACCACACAGAGAAACTTGTCAAAGCCCGCCGCTCAGCCATTGATTCCGCCAAACAAGCCCTCGATACCGCCCTCGCCCACCAAGCCACCTCACAGAAGGAAGTCGTCGCTCTTCTTGAGCGTAAGCATTCCTGGTCAAACGGCGATCTGGAACGCTACATGGCTCTCATCCGCTCCGAACACATCAACGACCAAGCCGTCCGCGAAGCCAAAGACGCCGTCGCAAACGCCGAAAACGCCTTGGAGGACGCGCGAGCACAGCTAGAGAAGAGGGAACGTGCACAATACCACGAGGAGCAAATTTGGAGCGATACCATTCGCAGGAACAGCACATGGGTTACGTTTGGCCTCATGGGTGTCAACATCTTCCTGTTGTTATTGAGTCTGGCCATCTTGGAGCCATGGCGGAGGAGGAGGATGGTTCGGGAGATTAAGAATACGTTGGAGGCACACCAGAAGCTTGCTATGGATGCCGCCACAACATCAGTCGCACCCGCATCAGCCTCTCAAGGTCTTACAGCGATTGAAGAGGAGATCGACCGGGTCATTGATCATACTGACGCACCTGCAAAAGCCGCGGCGCCTGTAGTATCTGAGGTCATTGAGGAGTCGCCAACAGCTGGCACCAACATTGCATCGCCAGTCGAAGCGGGCCTCATACCAGAAGTCATGCCTGAAGCAGCTGTTGACCCAGTGCCAGCTTCCGTCGTTCCGGAAGCCAAGACCATCATCCTAGAAGAAAAAGTTCCAACACCCGAGGAACGCATAGCCGTCGCTGAAGAAAGCGCACCATCTCACGCCGCTCCTCGTTCCAAGCTGGAGAGCTGGCAGCAGAAGGCAACCTTCATAGCACACGACGTTGTGAGCGATCGCGTCATTTCGATGCGGAGAATCGACTATACGAGCGCCATTCTTCAGGGTGCTGCGGCGGGAGCTGTTATCACGGCGAGTATCATCGCTATGCTGAGACCGAACTAAGGGTTTGCGTTTTGTACGAATAGACACATGTATCAAAAATGTATATAATTCATCTTGCGAGATGTTGTTACCTGCTGAATTGCTTTATAGCTGTACTTTTTCATCGTTTCCGTCGAAATTCTTTTGAGATGTACCCATTATTCTAAGAACTTGCTAGTAAAATGGAGAGCGGTGTATGCCTGTGAGCTACGTTTTTGGGCTACAGGGTTACCTACTTAGGTATAATATCGAGAGAAGAGAAGGTTCTTTTGCTGAGCCCGAGGCTCGCCCATTCAGTTGCGTATAGAGTATACGTGGGCTGAGCCAAGACGCCTTCTACCAGAGGGATGTGGCCAACGATATCGAGTATACGTATCGCTCGCACTGCAGCTGTTGGAAGCCGTGTGTATTACCAGGTATGGGGCGCGATGTCGTATCTTCCCTCCCTAGCCCAGCACGCTTTCGTAAAGAGGGACATAGATGGTTATGTCTGGTACGGAGGCGTAGACAAGGTGCGTCGCCGAGCATTCAAGGACGTGCAATGATGCTGCCCGCTATCTAGTAGGCTCGGCATATCAAATGGGAGAAGCACGACGAAGATGCGACATGCGCCTACTCACTCACGTCCTCGCTCTCATTTCCGTTATCTATTCTAGCAAGCACTTCGCTCTCGCGCTGTCTCTCTTTATCCGCCGCCTTCTCTACACTTTGTAGCATCGGCAGCTCTCCGGTACCATCCCAAGCTCTTGCTCTCTTGATGATATGCTGTGACTGCCGGATAACCTCCTCTTCCGCCTTCTTGATTGTGCCGCTAACTCTTACAACTCTTATTACGACAGGTGTATCGAGGGGTTTGGGAAGGTGGGTGATGTGTGTGAGGGCTGCCCAGACCATTTCGTAGTGGTCTCGTGGACATCGTATTATGGCCGTGCTGGTCGAGGGGGAGTAGTAGTTTACTATGCTATTCGTTAGTAAGGCGATTGTGAGGGCTCCGGTATATCACGTACCTTTCAATCCTGAAGACACCATACCCGATCCGTAGTCGCCGAAAAGGTCTTCGACGCCATCTCGTATCATGCGTACGATTACGCCCTGCTTCAGAGCATCAGGCGTTGGCGAGTGGATCTGGATGACATCTGGGAGTTGCGTCTTGCTCTTGGCGGGAGGCTCTGGGTATAGGAAGTTGACTACCAGGTAGCGATTCTTGACGCGAACCATATTCACTCGAACTGTGTCGGTCCCTCTGTGTAACCGTAGAGTATGCGCGCACTGAACAGTGTGGGGTGTCGAGGTGCAGTGCAAACGGAATCACCCAAATAAAAAGTGACAGGCAGATCCTTGACGTGACGCGATCGCAACCACCACAATTGCAAGGAGAGCAGTCCTCGCAACTGGTACTCGCGGCAATTCTCTCGCACGCGCAAGCAGACGCCAAAACGGCCAAAATCACAAGACAGGCCCCATCCATCCATCCATCCACCGCAAGCGCGATCCGCGCATTAGCGCATCAGGCGTGAACCGGCTTGGCTATGACGCACATGGCTAGAGGCAGCATCCCCAGCTTTAGTGGCTCTCCTTCCGCAGCTGCGCCATCACAGCCAACGGCTACTATCACCACTCAAGACCCACTCCATCACAACGACCTAGTCTCTCGAGGACTCATCGCCCTTTCGAAAGCCCCTTCTAACCCCAAGTCGCGCAAACGAGCACGAGTACCCCCAGCTAAGCGCAGAAGCCCTGGTCTTCCACCACCAGCCGTCAACATGGCGTCTTCGTCTTCTTCTACGCCGCTGCTCTAGTACGGCATACCTGCTACGCAATGTACATTCCGAGTAACGTGACTGACAACTTCACAGCGCATGCATAGCCCACAACACCACCGTCCTCACCGAACACACCGCCTCGGCCTCCTCAAACGCCTCCTCGCTCGTCTCGCTCGTCCTCCCACGCATCGCCCACGACAAATCCGCCCATAAGACTATCGATCAATCCAAGTTCTTCATCCACTGCCTCGTCAAATCGCCCTCTGACTTCCCCAACAACCAATCGACAGCCGGCGGCCTTACCTTCCTCGTCATTGCTGAGCGCGACCTCGGCCAGCGCATACCTTTTGGCTTCCTGACAAACCTCGAAAAGAAGTTCTTTGCCGAGTTTGAGCCTGGAAGCACGAATTTCCACGACTTGCCGCCGTATGGATGTGCAAGCTTCAATGGCGCGTTGAAGAGGATGATGGTGGAGCAGGGTGGTACGCAGGCCGGCCAGCAGGATGCGCTCAGAACTGCTCAGCGCGAGATCGAGGGCGTTAGAGAAATCATGACGGAAAACATTGAACGTGTGCTGGAGAGGGGCGAGCACATGAGTGTGCTGGTTGACAAGACGGGCAGATTGGGCGAGAACGCGCGCGACTTTAGGGTCCGGTCAAGGACGCTCAAGAGGCGCATGTGGTGGAAGAACGTCAAGTTGATGGTGCTGCTGACGCTTGTCGTCATCTTTTTGATCTATCTCTTTGTTGGCTTCGGCTGTGGTCTTCCTGGTAAGTTTACTGTGGATGACAGGAATCCGTGCGCGCTTTCGTTGCTTCACGCGACTGTGAGCTCGCACGCATTCCTGCCACCCCCGGTGCCCCTGGTGGACATCTCACAAAGGTGCTCGTTATCAGTGTGTATCCACCTGCCTTGCGTAGATGGTGACACCCTGAAAGCGAGCACCTTTGTAACGCGCGATTTCCTGAAGCAAAGGCTAACGAACAGCAGGTTGGGGACGTTGCCTCGGTCATTAGAGTCACGCCAGCAAACGCACGAGACGACGGGTTTAAGATATGCGACAGGGCCATCACGAAGAGCATACGACGTGTTCAGAAGTTTTGATGCGATTACGCAAAGCCTGACGACTTCGCTGGGAGATTTGTTTATTGTATACACCAAGGGCGAGGCGTTTGGCGTCTTCCCAATTACCAGTAGTAATTACTACCCATATTTCCGTTCCCATTCCATGTTGTACCCAAATTCCACCGACTCCGTACCATGCAGATCCCCTTCCATAATGCCCCTAGTTGGCTTTCCGATGATGCACCGTGATACCGATCCCAGTTCCCAACCTCGATGAGGGACCCACCCAACGCCAGAAAAGATCGAAATAAAAATGAAATAAAGTTCCCCCTCTTAACCCATAACAGAAGAATAACACCGAGAAATGCTGCAGAAAAAGTGAAATAGCTCCCCCCCATCCTGATGTTGAAAATTTTACATCATACATGTGCCCTTGACCTACGACCAGAACTCCCGTGTAAATGCTTGAGTATCTATCTACAATATATGTTGATGATGCTCGTCTATAAGATGGTATAAACCCGAAAGGAAAGTAGGATGAAGCAGAACTTTTTGTTGCTTTGTTCGTTTCCGTGAAAACCGTCAAACGCCTGCCATGAAATCGTGCGCTACATGGTCTGGCTAAGGAGCCATGACCATGGCGAGAAGTGCCATACGCGTGTACAGGCCATATCTCATCTACAAGAATATTAGCTGGAGTGTTCCACTGGAGCGCAGTGAGGCTTACCTGTCTGAAGTAGGCCGCTCTCGGGTCAAAGTCAACTTCCTCATTAATCTCGTTGTTCCTGGGCAGCGGGTGCATGACAATCATGTTCGCCTTGGCTCCCTTCAGCAGCTTGTTGTCAATGACAAACGCATCCTTCACGGCCTCGTAGGTGGCGACATCCGGGAAGCGCTCCTTCTGCACACGAGTGCAGTACATGACGTCCGATGAAGCGACGATGTCGTCGGTCAGCTCAGTGGTGACCTTGTTCAGCTGACCACGGGCCTTAAGAGCATCGGTGACGCCAGAAGGCATGGGTAGAGACGCGGGCGAAACGAGGTTGATGGTAACATCGTAGTGGGAAAGGAGTTCACAAAGAGAATGAACTGTGCGGCCGTACTTGAGATCACCGACGAAGGTGATGTTGAGGCCGTTCACCGTACCAAGTTCTTCTCGGATAGTGAAGATGTCGAGAAGAGCCTGAGTCGGGTGCTCGCGGCTGCCGTTACCAGCGTTGATGATTGGCACATCTGAGAACTTGGTAGCGATGTTGATCGACTCCTCAGATGGGTGACGCAGAACAATGGCGTCACCGTAGCAGCCCAGAGTGCGAATGGTGTCAGCGATGGACTCGCCCTTCTGTGTAGACGACACCAATTCATTGATGACGACCACCTCACCACCGAGACGCTTCATGGCCGCATCGAAAGAAGCGGAGGTTCTAGTCGATGGCTCGCAGAACAGTGTGCAAAGGACGCGACCCTTGAGGATATCGAGACAGCCCTGACGCTGAGTACCAAGACGCATCTCCTGGGCGATGGTGAACAGCAGATGAAGATCTGCACGCGAAAATTGCTTGACTGAGGTGATGTGCTCCCTCTTGAACGGCGATCTTGCAAGAAGCTGCTGGAGGGACAGCGAACCATTGAGTTTGGACAGGGAACCAGACGAGACATCATGCGCTCCAGGAGCCGCTGCGAACTCCTGGAAGTCCACCTTACTGATTTCCATATCATAGTGACGAGCAATAGCCTCAATCAACAACTTGGCGTTCTTGACGTTCGTAACCAGAGGAGTCTGGTAGTCAACAGCCATACGACGGGTCTGGTATCCTCTACTCATGTAGTTGGCAGGCCGGCGGAAGCGGTTGCTTGATGGCAGATTGATGTACAAATCGATGAGATTGTTAGACAAGTGCTGAGTGAGCGAGTACTCTTGCTTCTGCTCGTCGTGTTCACCACTGGACAACACTTCCAAGAACTTGACTGGGATACCGTGCTCTTGGATGTAGTCTGCAGTTCCGGCGGTGGCAAAGAGGTTGTAGCCCATCTTGTGCAGACGCTCAATGGAAGGCAACATCTCCAGCTTGTCCTTGAATGAACCAATGGAAAGTAGGATGTTCTTCTTGGGTAGCCTGAAGCCGGTAGCGATGAGACCCTTAATGTAGGCCTCGTACTTGGTGCGACCGAAGCAAGCAACTTCACCAGTAGAAGCCATCTCCACACCCAGGACGGGATCGGCACCAGAGAGACGAGAGAAGGAGAACTGAGGAACCTTGACACCAACATACTCCGCGGGGATGTTGGTAGGAGGGTACTCTGTGACAGGCAAACCTGACATGGCCTTGGTAGCCATCTCGATCAGGTCGACGCCCATGACCTTGGACACAAATGGGAAAGATCGGGACGCACGGACATTGCACTCAATGACCTTGATCTCGTTGTCCTTGGCAATGAACTGGATATTGTAGGGTCCCGTGATATTTAGGGCGGATCCTATCTTGCGCTGGAAGTTTGTTAATAGACGTCTCGTATACAAGTTGAGAACAGAAAACCTACAGTAGCATCTTCAATTTGACGTATGGTCTCAGGGTCCAAGTCTTGCGGTGGCAGGATCAGCGTAGCATCACCGGAGTGGACACCAGCATTCTCGACGTGCTCAGAGATGAAGTGACCAATCATGGTCCCGTTGCGAGCGACGGCATCCATCTCGATCTCCTTTGCATTCTCGATGTACTTAGTGATGACGACTGGGTGCTCCTTGGATACATCGGCGGCTTGATTGAGATAGTTGGCCAGGTCGTGCTTCGAGTAGACAGTGTTCATGGCAGCTCCGGAGAGGACGTATGAGGGGCGAACCAAGACAGGGTAAGATACCCGGTCGCAGAACTCCATCGCCTCGTCAATACTGGTAAGCTCCTTCCAGGCGGGCTGGTCGACGTTGATGCGATCCAACATACGAGAGAACTTGTATCGGTTCTCAGCGTTGTCAATCATCTCTGGAGAGGTACCAAGGATCTTGACGTTCATGCGGTGCAGCGGAAGAGCGATGTTGTTGGATGTTTGACCTCCCATAGAGACAATAACGCCGCTGGAGTTTTCCATGGTATAGATGTCAAGTACAGTTTCCAACGAAATGTTTTCGAAGTAGAGGCGGTCTGCTTCGTCGTAGTCTGTGCTTACGGTCTCCGGGTTCTGTAGCGTGTTAGTTCTTGAACCTAGCCTGGCAATGTACGGTAAAGTTTTGAGAAACAGAGGCGATTTGTTGCGGTAGCCAGGAGGTATTCAATGACAGGAAGAGGGGAGTAGGAAGTGCCTTGTGATAGCCTGGAGGTATTCGCAGATCTAAGTGGTTTCTGATCGAACCGCAAAAATGTAGCGAAGGCACCAGGCTACCACATCGTTCGTCTGGGATAGTACTTACATAGTTCAACATGACGGTCTTGAAGCCTTGCTCTCTGAGAGTGCGGATAGCGCGAACGGAGCACCAGTCGAACTCGACCGAGGATCCGATACGGTACACACCAGAACCGAGCACCATGATACCCTTGTCGTTAAAGCTGATATCGTGTTCCTTGGCGTTGTACGTCAGGTAGAGATAGTTGGTCACAGCGGGGAACTCGGCAGCGACTGTATCGATCTGCTTGACGACGGGGAAGATACCAGCATCAACGCGCACGCGACGCACGGCAAGCTCGTTGGAGGCCCAGAACTTGGCAAGTTGGCGATCGGAGAAACCCAACTGCTTGGCCTTCTTCAGCAAAGGCATGGTGATGCTGACGGTGTTGTAGCTCGCCATCGACTTCTCAAAGTCACTAAGAGACTTGAGGCGGCTGAGGAACCACTTGTCAATCTGGGTCATTTCCCAGATTTTGTCAACGCTGTAGCCGGCCTTCATGGCGTTGGCGATAGCGAACAGACGCTGGTCTGAAGGTGTCTGTAGTTCCTGGTCGATCTCCATCAGAGCTGGGGTCTCGTTGAAACCGAGATTGCTGGGGTCGATCTCGCGAATGGCTTTCTGAATGGCTTCTTCAAATGTCCGACCAATGCTCATGACCTCACCAACACTCTTCATAGATGAGCCGAGGAGGGTGGACACGCGAGTGAACTTCTTCAAGTCCCAACGAGGAATCTTCACAACGACGTAGTCGAGCGATGGCTCGAAGCAGGCACAGGTGGACCGTGTGACTGAGTTGGAGATCTCGTTGAGAGGGATGTTCAAACCGAGCTTGGCGGCGACGAAAGCAAGAGGGTATCCGGTCGCCTTGGAAGCAAGAGCGGAAGAACGCGACAGACGAGCGTTCACCTCGATGATGCAATACTCCTTCGAGAAGGGGTTCAGTGCATACTGAATGTTGCATTCACCAACAACACCGAGATGGCGGATGACGTTCACAGCGGTCGTTCGGAGCATGTTGTAGTCGGTGTCGGAGAGAGTTTGCGAAGGCGCAACGACGATGGAGTCTCCCGTGTGGATCCCAAGGGGATCGAAGTTCTCCATGTTACAGACTGTGATACAGTTATCTCTGCAGTCTCGGACGACTTCGTATTCGATCTCCTTCCAGCCCTTCATACTGCGCTCAATGAGGATCTGGGGGCTGGCAGCGAAAGCCTTGTTGCAGAGGTCGAGCAGCTCCGGTTCATTGTTTGCGAAACCACTTCCGAGCCCACCAAGAGCGTAGGCAGCTCGGACAATGACAGGGAAGCCAATGTCCTTGACAACGCGCATAGCCTCTTCTACGTTGTTGGCAGACGCAGACTTGGCACACTTCTCGCCAATCGACTCCATGCTCCGGGCAAAGAGCTCTCGATCCTCTGTAGTGATGATGGTATCAATGGGAGTACCAAGAACCTTGACGCCAAGGCCCTCGAATTCATCTTTGAGTTGGATACCAACCTGGAGGGCGGTCTGGCCACCAAAGGTTACGTAGATACCGTCAGGTCGCTCCTTCTGGATGATCTTGCGGAC